ACTTGAATACAGAGAATTCATAGAGAAAATTGGAGACTGATATTAAGAACCATTCATCTCACTGAAGAAACTGCATATTTAGAAAAAAGAGCAAGAAAAACTGCATATTTAGAAACCATAACAACAAAACAGAACTCTGTAACCTGTTCGCATGTGGATCTGCGCCTCCTTAGCAACTGTCACCATGGAAGCAAGGCAGTCTGACGGGGTGCCTTCTTAGCACAGTACATACAAAGGGGAGAGAGAACAGCTCATCATGCACTGCCCTATACTTTCCTTATTTATCTGTGTTGGTCCTGTACCTCCGACTATTAGCCTCCGACACTTCTCCTCCTAACAGCGTCAAGCACAGTGCTAAGAATATATTAGGCACTAAAACACATATACTGATTGACTGAACTGAATAAATTATATTTCTGCTGTGTCTTCCTTTCTAAGCTATAGAGAGAGTCACCCAACCGAAATTTGATTTTAAAAATGACTCCTGGGAATTCCCTGGCAGTCCAGTGGTTAGGACTCTGCACCACTGCCAGCAGCATTGTGTGTGTGTGGGGGGGGGGGGTGACTCTCTCAAGTTACAAACGTTTGACATGTTTTATTACTCAGTGATCAGGCTTCCGCAGTGGCTCAGCTGTAAAGANAAAAACCTCTTATATTTATCTAGAGGATCAAAACTAGGCCATTTTCCTAATTGGACTGCCCCGACGTGCATTTCGGATTGGAGGGGGTGAAAGGACAAAGATTAGGTCCTCTAAGGCTCTTTATCTTATTAGAAGACTAACATGTGAGTAGTAGATAGATGAGTAAGTTAATTCACTTGCATCAGTAAGGCTGTTCAAGGCCCAGAGGCTTTTTGTGAAGACTTGCAGTGCTGTTTTCTGCTTGGATGGCAAAGACAAGGTTGGCAGTGGTTCCTGAGTGAGTAATGGCAGGCCTGGGTTCAAGCCCAGAGGACAGGGAGTTCCCCAGATTTGAACTTCAAACTGAGAAAGCTTTTTGGGCACCTTACATTCAATGAACACTCAGCCTGGGAAGCCTTCTTATTATAACGCTTTGAGTGAATGATACTCTTTTAGTGTAGCCTTTTCCCTAATATATTCTTAACATTTCATTTTAATTTGTCATCTGTATAATTGCCCTGCATGTCAGTAACTTTCATTTCTACTCTTAATGTTTTGTTATTTCATATTTCTTTTTTAAAGTATTTAAATGTAGACATAGCCTCTTTGTTTTAATAGCCAGGGTGGGGGGGTGCCTAAATTTGCCACTTTTAAATCTGGGTTCCTGTAGTTTCAACAGATTCTTAGCATGTGCCACCTCCAGCTTACAGATTGATATTCCAGTCATGTTTGAGGCTGAAAACAGCTGCAAGAATTTGTCCTTAGAATTCTTCAGCAGTTGCTTCCAGTTGATAAAAGTCCAAATTTGGCTGGTTGGTGGATCAGCTACTGGGATGTGATTACCGTCATGATATCACCCCATTGGGACAAACCAAATGGGACCAGCCTCTCATGGAACAGGCTGCGGAGGTCACCATTGCCAGAGAGGAACAGGTTAAATCCTTCCAAACCTGCTAAGGAATTTGACCTAGTTTCTGGAAATTAGAGTGTATAATGAAAAGTATATTTGGTTGCAAATGTGTTTCTTTCTTTCTCAAAATTACTTTTGAACCCCTGTGAGACAGGGATCTCATGGACTCAGGTACCACCGTTAATAAGCTTATTAATTCAGTATGAAGTTTGGGGAGCAGACAAATAATATGACTTCATTTTATGAAAAGAATGTTTAGGTTTATAGTGGTGAACGTCTGTGGAGACACAGTTGACATGCTTCCAGCACTCTCATCTCCTATCTTTTGACCCCTATATTTAAAACAATGGCAGGCACAGGTGCTCCGTCAACGTTGAAGAAGTGAGGGAACGAATTTGAAAAGCTCCTCACAACCTGACTCCTACCTACTTTTCCAGTTGTGGTATATCCAACTGCCCTCTCCCCAAAACATCCAATTTATACTTTGGCAAAATAGTTATTGAGTTTCCTAAAAATCTCTCTTGCTTTCCCACTTCTGTACCCTTGCTGTTACTGTACCAGTGGCCTGGAATATTCTTCTCTCATATCCCAGAATATGCAAAAGTTACTGTTTTTCAAGCCTCATCTCAAATGCTACTTCCTTCATGACAATTTTACTGATGATCTCAATAAGGTAAATCCAAGCGTCTTTGCCTTCTAACTCATAAAACTCTGTACCTCCTGGTCATTTATTCTGAACTATTTTATCACATAATTATCTCTGTAGTTAATGTATTACAAGCTTGCCATATAGTAATCTTGAAGATTGGCACTGTGTCTTATTCATCTTTACAGTAACTTGCACATAGTTGATACTCAGTAATTGTTGTTGTTGTTATTCAGTCACTCAGTTATGTCCAACTCTTTGTGACCCCATGGATTGCAGCACGCCAGGCTTCCCTGTCTTTCATTATCTCCCAGAGCTTGCTCAAACTCTTGTCCATTGAGTCAGTGATGCCATCCAACCATCTCATCCTCTGTCTCCCCCTTCTCCTGCCTTCAATCTTTCCCAGCATCAGTCTTTTCTAATGAATCGGCTGTTTGCATCAGGTGGCCAAAGTGTTGGAGCTTCAACTTCAGCATCAGTCCTTCTAATGACTATTCAGGATTGATTTCCTTTAGGATTGACTGGTTTGATCTCCTTGCAGCCCAAGGGACTCTCCAGTCTTCTCCAATACCACAGTTCAAAAGCATCAATTCTTCGGCATTCAGCTTTCCTTATGGTCCAACTCTCACATCCATGCATGACTACTGGAAAAATCATAGCTTTGACTGTGTGGGCCTTTGTCGGCAAAGTAATGTCCCTGTTTTTAATACAGTGCCTAGGTTTGTCATAGCTTTTCTTCCAAGGAGCAAGTGTCTTTTAATTTCATGGCTGCAGTCACCATCTGCAGTGATTTTGGAGCCCAAGAAAATAAAGTCTGTTACTGTTTCCATTGTTTCCCCATCTATTTGCCATGAAGTGATGGGACCAGATGCCATGATCTTCATTTTTTAAATGTTGAGTTTTAAGCCAGCTTTTTCACTGTCCTCTCTCACCTTCATCAAGAGGCTCTTTAGTTCCTCTTTGCTTTCTGACATTAAGGTGGTGTCATCTGCATATCTGAGGTTATTGATATTTCTCCCGGCAATCTTGATTCCAGTATTTGCTTCATCCACCCCAGCATTTTGCATGGTGTACTCTGCATATAAGCTAAATAAGCAGGAAGACAATATACAGCCTTGACGTACTTCTTTCCCAATTTGGAACCAGTCCATTGTTCCATGTCGGTTTTAACTGTTGCTTCTTGACCTGCATACAGGTTTCTCAGGAGGCAGGTAAGATGGTCCAGTATTCCCATCTCTTTTATAAGAATTTTTCAAGTTTGTTGTGATCCAGACAGTCAAAGGCTTTAGCATAGTCAGTGAAGCAGAAGTAGATGTTTTTCTGGAATTCTCTTGCTTTTTCTATGATCCAACAGATGTTGGCAGTTTGATCCCTGGTTCCTCTGCCTTTTCTAAACCCAGCTTGAATATCTGAAAGTTCATGGTTCACATACTGTTGAAGCCTGGCTTGGAGAATTTTAAGCATTACTTTGCTAGCATGTGAAGTGTGTTCTATTGTGTGGTAGTTTGAACGTTCTTTGGTGTTGCCCTTCTTTGGGATTAGAACGAAAACTGACCTTTTCCAGTCCTGTGGCCACTGCTAAGTTGCCATATTTGCTGGGAAATTGAGTGCAGCATTTTAAAAGCATCATTGCTTAGGATTTGAAATAGCTCAGCTGGAATGCAAAAGTAGGAACTCAAAAAAAAATGTTGAAATAATTATGGTATTCAATTTTACTAATGCTGTACTGTGAACCCCAGAAAATTGTTTTTATCAGTTTTCTTAATAAAATATAAATGTTGTTCTCATAAATGGACACTATTTAAACTCCCACATAGATTGGAGTTGTATTTGTCAACATTTTCTTCCTAGTTAATTCTGTAAAAGATTGGAGCCCTCATTAAGACAAAAGGACTCTCCCTTTGTGTTTTAAATGATCATGGACTTGTTTAGTTCTTTTAGTGACATCATTAAAATTTATATCTTGTGTTCCTCAGAGAAGATCTTTTGAGTATTTTTTCCTAAGTATGTATGTATCATTAAATTTTAATTCCTCTGATCATTCATTTCTGTTGTTCTCACCTGTGTTACTTAAAGTTGGCATTTCCATCCATTTATCCATTTACATGTAGGGCAAAGGTCTTCATGAAGACTTTTGGAGCTGTGCTTTCTGCATATTATTAAACATTTTTTTCTACAAATGATCTCGTCTTGATACTTAATAATAAAACTAAAAATTCTCTCCCATTTATAAATAGTTAGCTATCACCACATGCGAAAGTTGAAGAGAGAGGAGATGAAGGACAGATTATCCAAGAATTAAGGCTGGAAGTGAATTGAAAGCTTTCCTCTTAAAAGCAAGCACACCACTATATGTTTTATTTCCTAAAACTTCTAGTTCTCCTGAGGAAGGCATGTACTATCTCATTTAGAAGATTCTAAGGATTTAAGACAAAAGATGCAAAGAAGTGGAAAAAACTGTCCTTTTCAGAAATTTGGGATAGTCTTTATTCTGACTGCTACATGAGTAGCAGTCCCAAATTATAACTTTCCAAGTCTCATCAAAGCATTATTCCTAAAACAAATGCTGCTTCAGTCAGCCCCTCACCAGTTTTTATTTTAAATGAAATTCTCTTGTTACCACACTTCTTTTCTTGCTTAGAGCCTTGACTCTCTATGTCCTCTCTTTTTGTTACTCTCTCCCCATCTCATTTCCTTCTTTTCTAATCATATTTCTGTCCTTCTTCTCATTCTCTTTATTCTAAGTTATAATGTATGTACTTAAAATACTTTTACATTTTTAAAGTAATTCCATAGTCTTCCTGTCTTAATTGATGTTTTTCAGAATATCCATCTCTTATTGAAAACATCTGTTGAGCATCTGTGATCAGTCAGATCCTGATCTAGGTAAGGAGATATAATCACAAACAAATGATATAAGGCCCCTGTAAGGAGCTCATAGTCTGCTGAAGATGGCATTCATTAAGTAAATAATAACATAGCTTATTTGTCTAATAACTCAAAGTCTATGATAGAGTGGAGTTGAAGGTAGCTTTACTAAGAAAGTGATATTTAAGCTGAATTTTGTGAATACAAGTATGAATGAGGTATGAAGGGGCTTGGCATGCTCAAAATAAAGAGAAAACATGGAGGGTGGGGAAGAATGGGAAAAAAAGAGAGAAGACAGATGTGGTGGGAAAATTTTGAGCCAAGGGTAGAGTTATTTGAGGGGAGATAGGTAGGGACCCAGAGAAGGCAATGGCACCCCACTCCAGTACTCTTGCCTGGAAAATCCCATGGACGGAGGAGCCTGGTGGGCTGCAGTCCATGGGGTCGCGAAGAGTCGGACATGACTGAGCGACTTCACTTTCACTTTTCACTTTTGTGCATTGGAGAAGGAAATGGTAACCCACTCCAGTGTTCTTGCCTGGAGAATCCCAGGAATGGGGTCGCACAGAGTCGGACACAACTGAAGTGACTTAGCAGTAGCAGGTAGGAACCAGGACATGTAATGCCACTATGGGCCAGGTTATATATTTTGGACTTAATCCTAAGAAAAATGAAAAAGCTATTGGAAAGTTATAAATAAAAAGGATGTAATCAGATTTTATTATTTTAAAAGTAACTGTGGAGAAATTTAAAATTCAGGAGACCCCTAAAAACGCTATTGCTGTAACATAGATGTTAATGACATTGGTTTGGACTAGTAAAGATGGGAAGAAGTATGTGTTTTGAAATTCTATTGTGGACAGAATTCACAGGACTTAACACTTCCCTGTGGATGAGTTTAGATCTGTCCTGTCTAGAGACAGAGGGAGAGGTGAAATGACTTCTCTTGAAGCATAAGAGTCTTACTCAAGATTAACTCATGATAATATAGTAGTTCATGATGGAAAGATGTGAATAAAAGAAGAGGAGACTTCATCTTATTAGAATATAAATGCCATGCCATAAGCCAGGGATTTTTAATTTCTTGTTCACTACGGTATCTCTAGTGGTTGGAATAGTGCCTGACACATACCTACTAAATAAATATTTGTGGAATGACTGCCTAGTGCCACAGTTACAGTACAGAAACTATCTAAGCAGTTGCCTTGGCCAAGACTCTAATTATAAGAAAAATTCAGATTAAATTTACCGTCACACCTCACATTGTCTCTCTAAAGAGGCAATGAGAGAAAGCTTTGTTTTTGCTTATTTACTTATTTGGCTGTTCCTGGTCTTGGTTGTGGCACATGGGATCTTTAGTTATGGCATTTGTGATCTAGTTCCCTAGTCAGGGATCAAACGTGGACTCCCTGTATTGGGAGTGTGGAGTCTTAGCCCCTGGACCACCAGGGAAGTCCCAAACCTTTGTTTTTTAATCATGGGAAGCTGGAGAATTTAAGCTAAGCAGCCAGCTGGTCTATAGGAATAAAGATGCACAAAATACTTGCCTGGGCAGCTCAGCTGGGACCAGGTGAAGGTCCTCGAAGCCTAGTGGCTTAGCAGGACCTCACTGTTGGAAACCACAGAGAATCTGAGTGTATCTGAGTGTGTAGGCTAAATTCCTGACTTTAATTATAAATGGAATTCATCATTGCTTATATCATACATCTGTGAGACTTATAGATTGCATCATCAGCAGAACCCAAGAACAAAAGAACAAAAGCCTGTCTACAGTCATCTTCCAGCTCTCCTAAACTGAATTTTCCAAGTTTAAATAGCCGAGTCTACTAGTAAGCTGAAAGCAGCCAGTTCATCTGGTGTCTACTGCAGAGGCTGGAAAACTGCCACTTGTGGGACCAGTTAGCCTGTAGCCCATTATTTACTTTTTAACAGCTTTATTGAGATATAATTCACATACCCTACAGTTGCCCTTTTAAAGTGTACAGTTCAATGGTTTTTTGGTGTATGTATTGAGTTGCACTATCTTCACCACAATTGATTTTATAACATTTTCATCACATATCCCCAGAAAACCCTCACCCATGAGCAGTTCCTCTCCCTGTTGCCAAAACCTGCCAGCCCTCGTATTCTTTTTTTGTTTTTTGTCTATAGATGTGTGTATTCTGGATGTTTCTTATAAGTGGAATCATACAATAGGTGGTTTTTTTGTGACTGGCTTCTTTTACTTAGTATGTTTTCAGGATTCGTCCAGGTTGTGGCACAACGATGCTTCTTTCTTTTTTACTGCCAAAAGAATGAAATGGATGTTTCCACATTTTGACTATGCTGAATAATGCTTCCATGAACATTTGTGTACAATGTTTTGTGTGGACATATATTTTCATTTCTCTTGGGTATATACGTAGGAGTGGAATTGCTAGATCATATATAACTCCCTGCTTAGATTTTTGAGAAACTGCCAGACTGTTTCCCAAGGCTGCTGTGACATTCTACAATTCCCACAGTAATGCACGAGGGCTGCGGCTTCTGCATATCCTTGCCCACACGCGTTATTGTTTGTCTGTTTGATTATAGCCATCAAGGGGTGAGGAATGAGCTCTCATTAGGTTTTGTTCTGCATTTCTGTAATTTACAGCTTATTTTTATACAGTGTGAAAACTATGAATGGTTTTTACATTTTTTTAATGTTGAAAAAAAACAAAAGAAGAATATTTACCTGAAATTTCAATTTCAGTGTCTATAAATAAAGTTTTAGGGAAATACAGTCTCACCAATTTATTTTGTATTGTCCGTGGCTGCCTTTCTCCCTGCAACAGAGCTGAATAGTTACAACATTGACTGCATGCCCTGCAAAGCCTAAAATGTTTACTGTATGTTCATTTACAGAAAATATAGTTGGATGAGACTTGCCTACAATGTAGTTGGTGAGACTGCAAAGAATCTAGGATAGGAAGGAGGAAATATCACTGTCCAGTAGAAATGGATTTTAAAAAAATAAAAATAGGGGATGCAAATGAGCAGAACAAGGGAGCTAATCAGGATGTTATGGGTCTTAGAGAGACTATCATATTTTCACTTGAGTCATTATTATAAGATCCTTCCATATCTGGGCTCTCCACATCTTGCAGTTCTCTCCCAGAGTTCTATTCCTAATCTACTGCTCTGGTTATATATTGTTCATCAGAAAGCTCCAGGGATGTCCCTTGCCTGCAGACCTCTTCTTCAGGAACACTTAGCCAGTGTCCTACATGATCTGCCCAAGTTAATTTTCTGACGCTTACCTTCTATCGAAGATGTGCATGCGCTAAGTCACTTCAGTCATGTCCGACTCTTGCGACGCCATGGACTGTAGCCCGCCAGGCTCCTCTGTCCATAGGATTCTCCAGGCGAGAACACCTTACCACTGAACCACCGGGGAAGCCCTCTGTTGGAGACACCTCACCTGAATTTCAGGATTTTGTGCTTTCACTCATACTTTGTTTTCTACTTGGAATGATTTTCTCTTCTCCAAATCCTAGACACATTTTATTATTATCATAAAATATTTCAAGCATACAAAGATAATAATATAGGGATATCTGTGCACTCATCACTAAGCATTGTTGAATCTTTTGCCATCTTCTTTAGTTTGAAAAAAAATTTGCACACTTATGAAACAATATTACCTGCGTAGATACTTTTAAAACCTTCACAAATACTAAATCTTCTAAGATCGGCTTTGTTAATGAACCTAATCAGAATTAAACTTCTTTCTGTGATTTCCTGTAACCCTTTCTTTCTACCTATACCATTTGACTTATTCTACCCTTGTAATAGCTTCTTTAAGTGTTCCGTTGTCATTCCCATAGAGTGGTGCAAAGACGATTTTAGATAGTCCAAGGTAAAGGCATTTAAAATGTTTAGAATTGTGTTTATTTAAAAATGTATATTAGAAATATATAAGCACAAGTATTTAAAATGTATATCTAGAACATCAACTCCATGATTTCCCAGATACTCTAAACTAGGTAGGGGTACTAGAAAAATATGGAGTAAATAATGATGTTAGAAAAATATGGAGTAAACAAAAATACAGATGATATGGTAAAAGTTTTGAAGGTTGTACTCAGTTTAGCTTAGAGAATTTAGCTTTTTAGAACAGAGACCCAGTTTTATTAACTTTTGTATATCCTAAGTATCCTACTAACTCCAAATTAAGTCAGACTAAATCCAAATTCTCTGGGACAGCAAGATCCTTGAAAATTGTTTGAAACCTCCCAAACCTCTGACAGACCACGTTTAGACGTTGTCGCCACATTGAGCGTCCGCAGCACATATGCCAAGGACAGATGGTTGCTTTCTTCCCCCTGTCTCTTCTCTGTCCATTATGACAAGGTGCCCCAGTTGGGGCTTGATAAATATGAAATAATGCTAATAATAGTCATCATCTGAAGGAATGAGAACTCAGAGTTGCCAGAATGCTGTCATTCGTATCCACTTCAACAGACCTAGTCTCAGCAAATTTCAGTCTATGGGCCATTTTAGAGAAATATTTCTCCGCCTCCTTAAAAATCACTGTTTTGTGGCATCTTTTCATTACTGTTAACACAGAACCATCTGAAGTCAACTGAATTGGCAACTGAATTTGGTCTTGAGACTTGGCGGCGAGGAATCGTTTTGTTGTGTAGCAAGCCTAAAGCATCATGCTAGCCAAATTATGTCATAGTTACCAAACTGCTGTCCAGTCTTCCAGCTTCTCTGAGTAAATATGGCCTTCTCAGAAGTTTCACCCCTCCTACCCAAAAATGACCTTGTATGCTCTCAAATATCAAAGAATCCTCATTGTGATGAAGTCTTTCACTCTATGTATTAGTATTTCCTTTCCTTCAGCCTGTGTTTTGAGGTGGTGTTTTGTTAATATGGGGGAGTCAGGGGAACCCCTGATGCTTCTGAGTCACAAAAGAAGATCAGAACATATTAAAAGTTTGGTTGAACTCCCAAAGCTTTACTCATATTAGCCTAGATATGCTTCTCAACAAAGCCCGAGAAGTAGGTTTAAGTTTTGCTTCTTAACTCCCACTGCTGAGACACAGATCTTTCCTGATTCTAAAATTCCACACCAAGATTGGCTTCTAGCCAGGGTACAGATATAACCTTATTACTTTATCATCCAAGTGAGGACACTATTGAAAATGTAGCAGAGTTGCTGGGGGAAAAAAAAAGTGTAAACCACCCAGGAACAGCATGATGTTACGTCACCATACTTAAAATACTGTGGGCCGTTCAGCCTCTGCAGCAGAGCCTCCCAAACTGAGGTCTGGACTTCAGCTTGAAAGTCTGTGCAGTTTCTTAGGAAGTTTAAAGTTTCATTTTTATTTCAGTGGAATGCCTGTTTTTGCATTGTTTATGTGGGGTCATTGTTTGTCCCTAAGTGGGGGAACTTTCGAGTGTCCTCAGCCAAAAAGAGAACAGAAACAGGTGCTTTCCTGGTGGTCCAGCAGTTAAGACTTCTTTGCCCTCCCAATGCAGGGGGCACCAGTTTGATCCTTGGTTGGGGAACTAGAATCCCACATACCTCAGGGCTGGGTGAAAAGTAAATAACACTGTGGCTATGTAAATCAACCATGTTTCAGAATTTTTCTTTTAATTTAAAAGAAAATTTTAAAAAATAGCAATACACTGGGGGAGAAAAAGAACACAAGCAGATTACAAACACAGTGAAAATTTCAAGCCAAGGGACAGTCCGAGGTTCGTGTGGCCTGCACGTAAAGATGTGCAGTAGTTCTGAAGAGCACAGTGAGATGTGATTTCAGGAGACTGAAGAGCTTAAGGGCCTTTGTGATACATTCTACCATCTTCATTTTGTGAGCAGAGGTGGACTTTGAGCAAAACATCGCATGTGACATTGACACTAATTTACATTTAATTTTGTAAACTTTTAAACCATACGCTTGTGCTGATTTTATAAGAACATATGGGGGCTTCCCAGGGCTCAGTTGGTAGAGAATACGCCTGCCATGCAGGAGTAATAGGAGCCACGAGTTCGATCCCTGGGTGGGGAAGGTACCCTGGCCAAGGACATGGCAGCCCACCCCAGGGTTCTTGCTGGAGAATCCCCCAGAGTATGACAGAGGAGCCTGGTGGGCTTCAGTGCATGGGGTCAGAAAGTCGGACACAACTGAAGCGACTGAGCACAAAAGAACAGTTTTCTCACACCTAGATTTGTGTTAGCACATATTAAAGAAGACTGACAACAAAAATTAATTTAATTTTGAAGATCAGCAAGAATTAAAAGTTTAGCAATCAAAACTCCTAGAGCAGTTGTGTTTTTCTGTCTTCCTTATCCAGTTTTGCCCCCTGGCGGATTCAGTTGGTAATAGATGTAAAATGTTGTTTATAGTTGCCAAGTAGTGTTTGCTTCTTGCGACCCCCATGGACTGTAGCCCACCAGTCTCCTCTGTCATTGAGATTTCCCAGGCAAGAATACTGGAGTGGGTTGCCATTTCTTTCTCCAAGGGATCTTCCCTATCCAGGAACAGAACCCATGTCTCCTGCATTGGCAGGCGGGTTCTTCACCATGGAGCCACTGTGAAGTCCCAGGATGTAAAAATACTCCCTTTATAAATGTGTCTTTTCCAAATTCATTTGCAGGTTAGCTGTGCTGAAGACAGAGTAATTTCTGTGTAGGAACAATGTTCTAAATAATGGCTAATATTGCAGAATAGCCTACAAAACCCCACAGTGGCCCTGTTCCACTTGATCTACACCCTCCACCCTCCTGTTCTACCCTGCTGCTTCTGCTAAGTCACTTCAGTCGTGTCGGACTCTTTGTGACCCCATGGCCTGTAGCCCACCAGGCTCCTCTGTCCATGGGATTTCTCCACAAGAATACTGGAGTGGGTTGCCGTTTCCTTCTCCAGGGCACCTTCCCAACTCGGGGATTGAACCTGCATCTCTTTTGTCTCCTGCATTGGCAGGTGGGTTCTTTACCACTAGCACCACTTGGGAAGCCTCTTCTGTCCTCCGTGCTGGCAAAACAAGTCACTTAACCCCTGTCCCTACCATCGCCACTAATGACTCCGTCTGCATCCCCACCACAAGTAGAAAGAGGAAGGAAGGGAATTAGTGGCTCCATCAAATCCAACATCTTTATTTATAGGCACAACTTATACCCTGCAATCCTGCACCTCTCCTGGGGTCTTCAAAGGAGTGGACCACCCAGAAGGAAACATAATAGTCCCCTTTGCCTCTCAGAATCTTAGGGCAAATATTAATCTTGCTTTCTTTTCTCTTGTTCCACCTCTAGCCCCTCTTAGTTCTCCAAAGTCACCTTCTAACTAGAAGACAACAAGAAAGGAAAAGAAAAATTCTTTAAAAAGGAAAGAAAAGAAAACCCTTTGCCCCAAGGTTTTTCCTAAACTCAGAAGCCAGAAATCTCTTGATATACAACCAGTAAACCTTCAAAACCTTACCTCCTCCAAGTTTTATAACTTTCTCATTAGTCCCTTCTAAGGACTGGCTCAAAGAGGAAGGGTTGAGGGCAGAAGCAGTCTTGGTCCTCTTCATGTTCATCATATACTATCAGCACTAAAGTGGTCTTGGTCCTCTTCATGTTCATCATATACTATCAGCACTTAAGCAGTCTTGGTCCTCTTCATGTTCATCATATACTATCAGCACTTAAGTGGTCAACTGTTGTTTGTGCTGTGTGCTTCCAAGGGCTCCGCCCCAGCAAGGGAGAGTGACAGTGTGGACCCTGTTGTGCTTAGACAAATATAAATCCCATTTTAAAAGGATTAGGAGAATTCTGTGGAATACTGTCTAGTCCATTTAAAATGACAAAAGGGAAAATGATTTTATGATTTTAGCCATGTTTAGCCAACTTTTAGGGAAAAGCTGGAAGAACAGATATGTAAAATACTTATGCTGGTTACAGTGCTTGATTGTGGCCAATGATTTAATTTGGAATTACACTAACATTGACAAAATGCTGTAAATGTATTTAAAATAAATGAAAATGTCCTTGTTCTGTTTACCCATTGCTACCTAATAAACCACCCCAAAACTTAGAGACTTAAAACCACACTTCTTTTTTTTTTTTTTTTAAGTCAAGCCCATAGAAACAGAGGGTAGAAAGTAGTTGCTAGGGGCTGGGATAGGGAAATCGGGAGAGGTTGGTACTTCTCCAAGCTTTTAATGGTACAAACACTTTCAATTATAAGATGAATAAGGTCTGAGTACCTGATGTATAACATGGTCACCATAGCTGATAACACTATTATATAATTGAAATTTGCTAAGACAATAGAGCTTAAGTGGTTCTCTTCCCCCTCAAAAAAAAAAAAAAAAAAAAAGAGATATCTATGGGAGGTAAGGGATGGATTAACTTGAGTGGGGGTGAGGGGTGAGGGTGGGGAAAATCCCTTCACAGAGTACAAGAATATCAAATCATCACATTGTTTACTTTACCTTACAGCTTTATCAGTCAATTATACCTCAGTAAAGCTGGAAGAGATCCAACCCTTTATTATATCTCACAGCTCTGTGGCTGGCCTGGGTGGCTCTTCTGGAGATCTTACTTGGGGCCTTCTCATGAGTTCGCTGTTAGGAGGCAGCCGGGCTGGCGCTTCTGAGTGGTCTCCTGCATGTTTCTTTAGCCCATGCTTTCAACTCAGCATAGAAGAGGCACTTTGTAGAATAGGCAGATATTGGGATAGCACTATCCCAGATGCTGGGGTATAGTCATGAATAAGACGAATGAGGGCCAGACCCTCATGAAGCTTACATTCTTAAATGCCTGCATTGCAGAAAATAAGTAAGTAAACAAATATAAATATATATTAAGTGAGGTAAGTGATTGGGAGGCCACTTTGGAGAGATCAGAAAAGCCCTCTTTGAAGTGACACTTGACGATCTGGGTTGGGGGGAAGCGTTTGCTAGTGCAAATGTCCAAGGCTTGGAAGAACTTGGAGGTTTAAAGGAAAACCATAAAAGGCCCCTGTGCTTAGGGAGTAGAGTGAGAAGAGTGAGTGGATTAGGTCCCAAAGGCAGTCAGTGGTCAGGTCATTAAGAGTCCTGAAAGCCACGGGAAGGACTTTGGATTTCATCTTGGGTCACGGGAAGAAACGAGGTTTAAAGTCATACATTGTATTGATTTTCTTGTTCAGAAGAATAGTCCACTCTCACCTTAGAGCAGGGTTTTGTAAGAGTCGGGGATGAAAACACGGTAATGAAATAGTTTGTTGCGTTAGGTGATAGAGGTTTGGACAAGAGTAGGGTAATTCAGAGAAGTCAGTAGATTATTCATATATTTTGAAGGAATTTCCAACAAACGCTGCTGGTGGATTGTGCTTGGAGGATGAAGAGAAAGGAGAAAACACAAAAGCCTCCCAACTGTCTCTTTTGAGTGGCAGAGTGAATGAAGTAAAATTCACTGAGGAGGAGCAGTCTGCTGGAAGAACAGATTTCTTTATTCGGAGAGAAGGCAGGAAGGAAAATTTTAAATTCTATCTGAACATTTTAAATTATATTATGCCCACTTAATAATTTGTAATTGAACTGTTAATACATGACTTAAGGTTCACCCAAATCTGTACAAGAATAAGCCATGTTATAACAAAGTGCCATGCTACCTGGGAAATTAAAATTAATGACATGTATTTAAAGTATAAGTTCTTAAAGTGAGTTAGTGTTTCTGTTAGGATAATTGCTACCATCGATTGAGGGGGTTTTTATTTGTTTGAACCGTATGAGATTGCAGATATTGGTAATTTTGAACTTGAAAATGGCAATGCCATACGGCTTGTCTCTGTATTCCGGCCATAGAACTATTTGTTTACATATGAATGAATGAATATTCACAAAAACCCTTAAGGTAGACTTTCTGTTAACTTATACTTGATAAAATGGAAGTTCTGAAAGAAGTTAAATAACCTGCCGAAAGTCTGCTAACAAGTAGATGAGCAAGAATCAAAACAAGGTCTTGCTGACAAAGCATCTGGACTCTTGGTCACAAGGTTATACCACCCCTATTTCCAGCCAGAATCATTCTGCCTTCCTCTCAATGTAAAAATCTTCAGATCCAAAAGACAGATATACAGGAGTGCTTGGTCTGATGGGATGAAGAGTTGCTGACTGTCTTCCTCCTACAGAGAGCCAAGTTCAAGTGGAACTTACAAGTCAGGATTGCATTTTAGAAGTAAATACAGTGAACAAAGAGAAATCAGAGTGAGTTAATACTATTAAAGGTTGCTCAGAAATTCCCATTAAATTCATTTTTTCAAGAAATTTCTAGCTTCTCTTCTACATTTATCACTGAAACCCCTCTACTATACAAATACATTAAATAGAAAACAAGTGATTCTAACCTCAGAGAAAATATAATGCCACCGGCTGAAACATATCACCAGTCAACAAGCTGTGACCACTTTTAGCGAATGCCTTATAGCATGTTTAATACCATACTTAATATCATACTCGGGCATTTCTATACACTGAAAAGTGGTACTACCAATGAGTGACAGTCAGTATGGAAATAAGTAAAATACATCATCAATCATAGAGACTTTAGGCTTTTCCCTCTTAATATAGTTTCTGGATTATCTAGATTTCAGTAAAATGAAGAAACTCTTCATATATGTATTCTCACCCTGTCTGTGAATCAATTAGGAACACTATAAGGACAGAATAGCAAAGTCTGCTTGATCAGTTAGTAATTAGCTGTTTAAATCAAAGGTTAAAAAAAGTTTACATGACTGAAAGCTTTCTGTCCACCCTTGGGAAGAATATTTCCCACACAGCTCTTGCATTGTGAATGTCAATTAGAGCCTACAGTCCTTGGTGATGAGCAGTAGAAATAGTCACCTAATGAAATCATACTCCTGCTAATGTAAAATTGAATTTTCAGTTTAATAACGAAATGAATCTGTTCTTCAATACTGTATAGATTAGGGGTTGAGTATAATAGCTAGTCCCCAAATTGGTCCTGGAAATAAGGGCAGAACTTATTAATCTCTAAGTTCTCAGCCAGCTTTGATAGTAGTTGAATAAGTACCAAAACCTAAAACTTCCCGGGTGGCTCAGTGATAAAGAATCTGCCTGCCATTGCAGGAGACGCAGGAGACATGGGTTCGATCCCTAGGTGGGGAAGATCTCCTAATGGGGAAAATGGCAACCCACTCCAGTATTTCTTGCCTGGATAATCCCATGGACAGAGGAGCCTGGCAGCCTACAGTCCATGGGGTCACAAAAAGTCAGACATGACTCAGCAACCGAGCACGCATGCACTGAATCCTTACTGCTTCCACATACCCCGCTGTGTGCTTAAGCAATACCTTTTCATTTAAATCTAACAGCCCTCTGGGATGGGTTATACTTTTGTTTTGATTAAGGCTTAGAGATGTTAAGTAACTTCCCAAGGTCCGAAACTAGTGGAAGAGAAGAAGCAACACAGACAAGAAGGCAGGTGGGAAAGGGACCCCCGAGCCCCCTCCAGAGCCTCGCCTCTCCTAGCCCAGAGCCAGGGCACCGCCTGGAAGCCGAGGCAGAGCTGAGGCGGTCCTCTTGTCCTTCTGCAGGCTGCACACTCATCAGTAGTCAGCCTACTGGCACATCATTTTTCCAGTTTCAAGTGTTGCTTGCCTTTATCTTAAGAACCTTTTCAAATTCTCCTGTTTAAACATCTCTTGGGAATAACCCCTCATCTGACAGCCCAGGACACTCATAAAGACCATTTTGCTCCCCTTTCTGTCCCTAGATTAGAAAGCAGAAGACTTGTAATCTTGGATGCGTGACAGTGCAGAAGGCTTGGATACTTTCTGGGGCGATGCTGATGACAGCCAGGAGGAAAATGCTTAGTCCAAAGAAAACAGTATTGTTGAAATCAATGTACAACCAGGCACTGAGCCAGGGCAGCAGAGGAATGCACTGCCCATGACAGAATGCTCAGACGTCTCTCATCACCAGCAGAGAATGTCAGAGCTGGAAGAGAACTTGGAGAACAAGTTCTGCCTAGCTTTCCACATAGCAGAGGAGGCCCTGAAAGGAGATCTGGCTTTCTCCAGGTCAAACAGCCGGTTAGTGGCTTAGCCAGAACCAGAAATCAGATGTCCTGAGTTCAATTCTCTCTCCACTGCGCAGCACAGGCAGGTCTGGCTTGGGAGCTCTTTCTTTGGTGCTGGATTCTTCTCTGATTCTCCCTTATGTCAGTTGAAGGGAGGACCCAGTTCCTGAGTTCTTAGAAGCCCAAACCCAATAGCTCAGCAGCGATGCCAAAGTGAAGGTTTTAGTTTACTGCCATAAGATATAGTAAGACATTTTAAAAATAATTGGAGAGTCTGAGCGATGGGGAGACGGGCGGATGTACACCAGTGGCCCAGAAGATGGGAGGCAGTGGCGGCATAAGGCGCCCATGAAAGTTTCCATGAGTGCTCAAAGGGTCCTCACCTGGCTTAGATCCTAGAGCCCCTTCTCCAAGTCCAAGTCTCCTGAAGATGAGGAGGGACCCTTGTGGGCTTTCAAGAACTCAGAGGGAGATACAAAACCTCAGAAAGACCGCTCGTGGAACAGGAGAGGCAGCCAGAGCTGGGGAATGATGTGCTATGTGCAGGAAGCTGTGTGCAGAAAGACTCCAAGGCTGACAGGAAGGCAATGAGACACTTGCAGATGTACCTCCATCGATCAGTCACTTAGTTCCAGACTTCTGGGGGCTTGAAAAGTCCTGAGGAGTCTGATCCACATGCCTCTTCATTTCAAAGAAACTGTATTAGTCACCTCAACACTCCTCTGGGAGTGTGGAGAGAGGACAGGGGCCAGAGAAGTGTGACTGCCTAGGTCCTTGTAGGGAAATTAAACTAGTCCTGTTCAGACTTGAGAAGTCAGAAGCATGCCTCTGACCGACGTCTGACCTTGCCTGGGCCCTGCCTGGACTACATGCCTGCCGGCAAGCACACCAACTGATCAAACCAATGTCCCCTGCTCAGCAGGGCAGAGACATACAGGACTATGGTGCCGGAGCCCCCACAAAACAACACCAAATGGTTTCAGCGGGAGCCTCCAAAGCTGCAATTTGAAGTCTCACCCCAGGGTGGAAGCACTGCCCAGTCCCTTTCCCAGTTGGGACTCCAAATTGCTGTTCCTTGGGACTTCCCAGCACTGTCCAAGTCTGGATGTAGACTTCCGCCCACTTTGGTGATGTGTACCACTGTTACTTCTGGCTGTTGTTTCTATTTCTTTTCTTTTAATGCCTGAATGTTGAAATTAAGTTAAACAATCTTCTATTGAATATTGACATTGTTAAAAAAAAATAATAAAAAATAAAAGAATAAAAATAAAAAAAAAATAAAAATGATTGGAAGAGCCATAACTGCTTATAGACAGTTTCTCTTTCATAGAAACTCTACAAGACTGCTCTCATTAGCCCCAGGTTCATTCAAGAGTGGCAGAATGCACTTAGTTTTGTTGAAGCAAGTCCAAGCTTCTTTCCCCATGATAAATGAGGAACTGACCTTTCTTACAGCTATGCCTATGTTCTTTTGCTCCTTCTTCCATGAATACTTATATCACTAGAATTTTTACAGGTGGTGTCATCCTGTTGCCCAGTATTTATATGCCCCACAATTTATTTTTGGATATGTCAGTGGCTTCATGCCAGTCACCATTATTACACCAAAACTCATCAGGGTGCACTTTCTACATTTGCTCTTCATAGCTTTCTGTTTCTTTTATGTCTTTAGGAGCTTTTTCTTTTAGAAAAATGCTAGTCTTCAGCAACACTTTATGTCATTGTATTGAACAGTTTCTTTTTTGTAGCAGATTAAAAACTTTAAAGACTTCTCTTAGAGAGGTATTGATGGAAACTTCAAATAAGATTTTTTTGTAGAATACAGGAATAGCTGTATTTCTAATAATTATTAAGTTGACTTCCAATTAACATTTTATACGCATATTAACATTTCACAGATTGTTTCTGTTCAACCAATTTCAGAACTTCATGAAAAAGTTGAGTGATAGGTTGGGTAATAGGGTAACATAATGGGAGCCTTTTTTCCAATGCTGGCATGTGAATAAAGTACCTGCAAATCATAACAAGAAACAAAATAGAGAGCTTTAAAAACAAGACTTTTCACACCAGTCACATTACTAAATACATACTTACTGGCATAGGGCTGTTGAGTGTGGGAGTTTAACCCACAAGACTGCCAACATTTACCCCTCCAATCTCCTCCATTTGTGACCTAGAAGACCTCTGATGTGTGAGCCTTTCAGCTCACTGAAGCACTTTACTTCAGCAAAGAAAGTGAATTGCATTAATAATGTATCAGTTATCAAAGCATCAAATAAGGAAGCTAGGACTGTCCTCAGCACAGTGTGAGCGGAGGCTCCTGCCTCTCGTTTTCACAGGCCACACACAGTGGGGAGTGGAAATGAGTCAAGCTGGGTTGACCAAGTCGAGGGAAGAGGAGGGTTTGTCCGCATGGCCTCAGTGAAAGTACAGTTGACCCTTGAACAACATGGGTTTGAACTACGTGGATCCATTTGGGCTTGGATTGTTTTCAGTAAGTATACATAAATATAGGTGTAGAACACTGTACACAAGACTTGTATTGAAGTGGGTAGCCTATCCTTACATAGGCACAAGGTGATGTTTAATAAAAAATTGATAATGTGTTAGTTTCCATATTACTGTTTATAACTTTGCTTTCAAAGAATTACATACCATACAGTATACTTCTCTTTCTTGTAATTGGAGAAACTGTATCAGCCTATCACCACAGGTGTTTTTTTTTTAAGTAACAATGTTTCCAATACTATATTATGAATGTGACTGTAATACTGTGTGCCATAAACATTTTCTTATGATTCATTCATTATTGTATAAGCCAGGTTACCATGAAGCGATCATATTGCTGCTGCTTTCTTACCAATGCATGAACATGAATATAAATTTCTTTTCCACATTATCTTTTCATTTCTTTTGCCTATTGATTATAATATGTGTAACATCTACAGTGCTTTGTATCATATAAGACAATATTAATGTAGATACTTATAGATAGACAGTTCATCTTTTAAAGACAACATGAACTTCCTGTATCAATAAATATGATTTTCTTAATAATATTTTCTCTAACTGACTTAATTGTAAGAATGCAGTATATGATACATATAACATACAAAATATGTATTAATAAGCTTTATGTTATCAGAGTGGCTCCTGGTCAAAAATAGGCTATTTGTTAACTTTGGGTGGAGTCAAAAGTTATATATGGATTTTTAACCATGTGGGGTGTGGCACCCCTAGCTACAACACTGTTCAAGGGTCAGCTACTATAGGAAAAAACCAGGGAAGAGACAAAAGTAAGAAAATCTTTAGCTAGACTCTTGGACGGCTTCAAGCATTGCTTCTCAGCCCTGGATGCACATTAGCATCACCTAGAGAGTTTAGTGCCCAGGCGCCACCCCAGACAAACTGAACAGTTACAGCATTTCTATAGGTGATACCTGGGTATCACATGTAAGAAGGATAACATTAGGGACAAGGAGAGGAGACAGTGGCAAACTAAACAGTGCATTATCTGCCTAAGGGGGTAGCTGCTTCTGAGCCCTGGCCAACTATTGTCATGTAGGCATGTGACACTGTTGTTGCCATTGTTCTGATTTTTAAATGTGCGTAACTGTTTTTAAGACATTGATTTATGTGACCCATGCTACAACATGGATGAACCTTGGAAACATCATGCTAATTGAAAGAAACCAGACACAAAGGCCATATGTTGTGTGATTCTGTTTGTACGAAATGTCCAGAACAGGCAAATCCATAGAGACAGAAAGTAGATTAGTGGTTGCCGGGTGCTGGGGTGTGACAGCTTTATGGATAACTTTTGGGAGTGATGAAAATGTTCTGCAATTAGATAGGGGTGGTGGTTGCACAACACTGTGAAATGTATTAAAAGCCACCGAGGGAATTCCCTGGTGGTCCAGTGGTTAAGACTCTGTGCTTCCAATGCAAGTGGCCCGAGCGCAATCCCACATGCCACGTGGTGCAACCAAAACAAAATAATAAAAAAAAAAAAAAAAAAGCCTGGCAAGTCCCCGGGAAGTCAGGGAATAAGAAACAAAAACTTCAACGCCGAAAGCCCGGGGCAAAAAAAAAAACCCTTAAAAAGAAAAAAAAAACCAACGAAATGCAACCCTTAAAAAGGTTAAAAAGGGGAAATCGAAGCCAAAAGAAATTTAACTCAAAAAAAAGGAAGAAAAAAATAAGGCAACGGCAACAAACCCAAACAGGAAAAACAAAACCCCAAACAAAAGGGAAACCAAGCCGAAAAAACAAAAGGAAGAAAAAAAAGAATGAAAACGGCCCGGGAAAAAGCCTTAAAACAAAACCTTAAGCCAAAAAAAAAGCCCTCCCATCCTTGTCTGTCTGTCTCCATCCAAAAGTAATGACAAAGCTACACCTGCTGCACCCTTTTCATCCTAAGTTAGACACAACCTGGGTTTGGTTTTATTCTTTCCTTTAAAGGTGCTAATGCAAAGCTAGACCGCTAAGAGCATTTGGCTTTGCCGGCCTATAAATAGAAGTAGGAACCCCTGAGGTGCAGAACAAGCTGGCTGACGAAACAATGCTCTCTACTGTTTCTTTCTTACTGTTTTGTTATTGAATGTAAGAGAAGGGTAAACGAAACAACAGAAAAGAAAACCCCAATAGCTGCATTCATCGTTCCTTCTTTATCAATTGTTTTTCTTTCCCAGTGGCTGGGTTAATTCACAGCCAATTATATTGTCTCCTCCAGTAGGGTTTCTTACTTTCAGTTACTCACATGTTAAAATCATTACCAGTTCTGAGAAATAGATGCTGGTTGCGATAAAGACTGAGTGAGAAACAGTTCTTCCCAGAGAGCTTTGATGATTCACTGGTCTCTTCTGGCCTAGGATTGTCCTTCAAGTGGCAATAGTTCTTAGACGCCCCCCCCCACCCCCCAAATCCTACCTTACCACAGTAAGGTAACTATTTTATCAAAGTAAAATATTATTAAAAACAAACATTAGAATTTCTTATTGTCATTTAATCTTCTAAATACGGGGCTGTGTTGTAGTTTTGCACGAAAATAAAAAATGAGTGGATTAGAGTCAGACTTTTTCTTACCTGAATTCTTCTCTGTAGTTGTTCCTAATATACTCAGCTAAAGTCTTGCTGTATTGCAGGCAGCTCTTGAGGATGTAAAACTGCTGGTACAACAAAACCGCTCTGCTGGGACTTAGCAGCTGAAATGAAGCTGAAAGGCCCTTCACCACTCGTTTCACAATACTGGCCACAAAAGTAATCTAGACAAGGGAAACACAGTTACATGCATGCTGCATGCCCCCTGCAAGGGCACCTGCTTAGCTGGAATCTCAACTAGAAATCTAGGCTGAAGTCCTCACCACCCTGACACCAATGCCCTTGCATTGCCCAGACAATAGACCGACTGGGTTTGCCAGCTGCCTCCCTACAAACTGGATCAGAACCAGACCTGCCTGTCAAAGGAGTTTGACTCCAAAGCAGAAGGAGAATATTGGAGGCCTAAATTTAGGCTACTGTAAATAACAGAAAGGAATACTACTGCCCTTTCAGGCTCTAACCAGAAGGTCATTCTGGATGCTCATTAAATTAGCACTGACAAAATTTGCCTTTTCTATTTATTCATGTGGCTACTGACCCTTCCTAAGTAAGGCAGGTGATCTGAAGTTTCCCCAACCAAGATCCATTTACACATATTGACTAAATATTGTGTCAGGCAAATGCAGATTGAGATCAGAGAGTCTGGAGTGGGGAAACAAAGCAATACCCATTTGGGAATTAAATTTTTAATTTCTTTAGCATCTTGCTGTAATCAAGAAAGAGAATCAGCCAGAGCTAACTGGCATGCAGGTATATTCAATGATTCCACAAGTTTCCCTGCTTGCAAATTTCTCTCAAATGGTCTGTTTCTACCCACACTCTTTAGAAATAGGTTACTGAAGTGTTCAACACTGTCAGTGGGCCTTTTGCCATCTTTCATCCTGACAGCCTGCTTTATGGTCACAGGCTGGCCACATACTCAGCTCAGTTCCTTTGGTGAACCGACCCTAGAGGTTGATAAGAAAACTTTCCTGTCACTTGGAGTTCTTAGGACCCCAAATTTCACACAGTAGTTTAGATGATGAGGCCTGCAGACACCCCACACAAAAAGTAAGGGTCTTGCATTGTGCACATATGAGCTACTGTTGCTGGGAGTGACTGTAACTTTACAGCACTCTTTGAAGTGGGCCTGAGACTGGTTAGAGTCTATGTCTGCTAAAGGACCCACGTTCCTGGCTCAATCTCTGTCTAAGGCAGTTGGTTGTGCTACTGACATGTGTACCCTCTGACTGCAGTCTGGTTTTTATAGATATATGTCACAGAGATCTGGCAACTGGATTCCCTAAGACAGACTCAACATCAAAATAGCTCAAAGCAGGAAACCGCTGATGGTTAAAAGAAGCATGTTCACGTATGAAAAGAGAACATAATACCACATGTCAATCCCCCATTAACAACAAAAATTTAGTTGGCATTACTACCTTTTGAAAAGATTTCCAATCAAATCTATGTTGACTACACAGACAAATACATGAATGAATAAAGGGGAAAGTAAGTTTGGGGAGATGAGAAGAGATTAATGGATAAAGCCTTTCTTAGAGTTAATTCAGCAGATATTTTATTTAACAGTGTACCCTCTGACTGCAGTCTGGTTTTTATAGATATATGTCACAGAGATCTGGCAACTGGATTCCCTAAGACAGACTCAACATCAAAATAGCTCAAAGCAGGAAACCGCTGATGATTAAAAGAAGCATGTTCACGTATGAAAAGAGAACATAATACCACATGTCAATCCCCCATTAACAACAAAAATTTAGTTGGCATTACTACCTTTTGAAAAGATTTCCAATCAAATCTATGTTGACTACACAGACAAATACATGAATGAATAAAGGGGAAAGTAAGTTTGGGGAGATGAGAAGAGATTAATGGATAAAGCCTTTCTTAGAGTTAATTCAGCAGATATTTTATTTAACATCTATATGTGCCTGGCACAAAACACAGAGCTCCTGTCCTTATGGCCCCTGGAGTTTGGGAAGAAAGACACTGTATCAATCATGATAGACTAGGCTATGTGATGGTAATAAATCTCACAAAATATCAGCGCTTTGTTTAACACAAGGAAGGTTTCTCATTTGCCAGTGCTGTATGTTCCTTACGGATCAGTAGGGGTTCCTGCTCATTGCAGGCACTGGTCCACATTCCAGGACCATATGGAATGTTACCAGTCACCCTACCAGAAGAAGAAGAAGGCGGGAAAGCATGCACTGGCTCCTAAACCTTTGGACAAGAAGTGACATAGGTTACTTCTGCTCACATTCCACTGGCCAAAGCAAAACAGAGACCCACCTAATTTCGAGTGGGTAGAGAAGCCTACTGCTACTACGAGTCTGAAAGGAGAGAAACCCAGAATATATATGGACACTAATGGCTACCACAAGACAGAATCAAATAATAACACCAACAGTGTAGACTACAACAAGTCCTATGTAGAAAAGGAAAAAGTTGCCATGCTCTGACAATGTGTGCCCATGATGAAAGACTCTGATATAATCGGAATGAGAGATTCACCACCTTCACCCCACGCAAGGAAGGGGCACTGAGGCCTGAAGGACGAGTAGGAGTTAATTAGGTGTAAAAAGAAGAAAAAAGCACTTCAGGCAGACAGACAGAGGGAATGGTAAAGACCATGTGATGGAGCTGGGAGTACCAGGGTGGGCAGTGGTACCCACATAGCTGGCAGAGTGAGGGACCAGATGAGGCTGTGGGGTCAGAACATACACAGCCTTGGAGGCCACAGTGAGAAGATTTTAGTCTTCATTTGTTATGTCTTCATTTCTGATTATGTCATCACTTGCTTTAAATCACGTGCTCATATTTAAAGCAAGTGATGACATAATCAGGTTTTTTATTTTGAATAGATTCCTTTNACACAGCCTTGGAGGCCACAGTGAGAAGATTTTAGTCTTCATTTGTTATGTCTTCATTTCTGATTATGTCATCACTTGCTTTAAATCACGTGCTCGTATTTAAAGCAAGTGATGACATAATTGGGTTTTTTATTTTGAATAGATTCCTTTGACTGTCGTCTGGTGGGAAGATAGGGCAGACCACGTAGATGCAGTTAGAGCGCCGAGGAGAGATGGTGATAGCACAGACCAGGATGGTGGCTGCCAGGACAGAGCGGCCACAGCACTAAACGCGTTCTGCCCACACTCGCCAACTCACACTCACTGTTTAAGATGAACGTGCATGTTTTTCACGTAATTATACAGCCAGTGTTTTAAAATTCTGTTTTCTACATATATCTTCGGGCTTTTCATTAAATAGAAATCACATTTAAGACGTTATTTCAATATCTTAAACATTCAGGCCCCAAATAGAAAAACATTTTATTTTGACTAATAAAATTATCAAATGTACATTTTCTTCTGTTTTATAAACTTGACCCATTATAGAGAAATAGTCATTAATTAAGCACAAGGGCATCTGTTTCATCAGTCTTGAGTGATAGTTTTGTTTCTGCTTCTAGGATGTACTCACTATGGGAGGACAACTTTGTAGAAAGGACATTATCCAGCTAATAGCAAACTGTGTTGACTCCAATCCAAGATTTCCCTAAAAAAATGCAAGGAAATAAGCAAGTTATATTCATGAAGTTCAAACGCAGCTAAAAAGATATTCATTTTCAAATACATTTTATCCTGATTAATCAAATCTTTAAGATCAGTATTTAGGAACATAAGCTAGATGAACACATAGGAGCAATAGTAGTCCTGTCATTTAAATCACCCAATTTTGGAGATTATCTCTAATACAAGCATTTTAATTATAGAATATACATATCATATAACAGGGTTTCCCAGGTGGCTCAGTGGTAAAGAATTAGCCTGCCAATACAGGAGACGCAAGTTTGATCCCTGAGTTATGAAGATCCCCTGGAGAAGAAAATGGCAGCCCACGCCAGTATTCGTGCCTGGGAAATCCCATGGACAGAGGGCCTTGAAGGCTGTCATGCATGGGGTCACAAAAGAGTCAGACATGACTTAGTGACTCAACAACAACAGTATATATCACATAATGATCATGACATATAAGATAATGGCACAATACAGTATGTATAATGAAACCACTGTACCTGCTGAAAGACAAGAAGTATCTCATACAAAAGTGCTGTAGCTGTGTCTGTATATTCCAAGATAAGCTTCTGTAACTAGAATTTTAAATAGTAATCAATGCGGTATCATTGGCTGAGCCAGAAAATAATCATTTCTTCTGGTTCTCCTTAGGTATTTATAGAAAGAATTTATGATCAATAGAAAGTATTAGTGTGGTTAATTTTCTTGTTCTGTTTGATTCAATCATTCTCAAAAAAGTGGCTCTCATAAAATGACTGCACATATAATAATGGCTAAGAAGGTGGGTCAGGAAAAGAAGACACGGCCTACAGAATACTGACATGCAGAAAAATGCCCACTGATATGCAGTGTCATTCAGATCAACCATCCTGCTTCCTTTCAAGGATGTAGAAATAGACTCCCCAGGATTGAAGTAGGAGATTCTCCAGGGAATTAAGTCTTAATGCCCAACTTGAAGGATAACTCCTTCTGTGGTATGGGTAAATGTAGAGGTAGAGATATTTAGTTGTTGTTCTCAAGAAATTCAAACAGTTGGTGAAGCTGTCTCCTAGCCCACAGGCTAGGAGGTGCATGAGGACTGTGTCTGCAGGCATGCTACAGGCCCCACATATTCCCTAACAGTACTGTTTGCAAGGAAGAGTTCTAGTTTGAAACCACCTGCTCTATTAGACCTTGGAACCAGAATTTATATAATCTGCTCATGGCTTCACTCATAGCCCAGGTGCAAAAGACCAGCAGGTCCAAAAACAGGAAATTCAGACCTGTCTATACTGCTCACTGGATGTTTTCATATGGAAATATCAAAGGCAAATCAAATAAACTAATCTAAAACCAAGCTCATTATTTCCCCTTTAAACCTAGTATATCTAACATTAACTCTTTATATTTTTATGAACGCAGTTCCCTTAAAATTTCTGGAATCGTTCCTCTTCACAATTACCATCTTCCTTTTTCCATTTCTTTATTGAGCAAACATGCATCAGACACAGCAGTCATTGGAGTCCCATGCTGTACTAATGGAGAGTCACGGAGACGTGGTTACTGCCCTGGTGGAGTATACAGTCTAGCGGGGAACAGATATCAATCTAACAATCACATAAATAAATGCACAGCTGCAAACTGAGGCAAGGGCTGTGGAAGAAAGGCACCGGAAGTTAGGAGCACTCTAAAAAGAAGCCTCGTGTTGTTTGGGGGTCAAGGAAGGCTTGCTTCTTGGCCCCTGTCGTCCCTCAGCTGGACGACAGCACTAGCTTCTTAACACCTCTGTCAGTCTTGCTTCCATCCTCCTCTTTTATCCCTAATCCACTCATCCCACTGTTGAAATTGGTACTGCAGATGCTCCATATACCATCTGTAATAATATTTGATGTTATATTTGACCAATTAATGCCTGTCTCTTCAACCTATGAGGGCAGAAGTTGTGTCTATTTTGCTTTTTATTTACAACCTGCTGCCTAGCACACTGTTTAGCTCATAACAGACACTCAATAAATATTTATTAAATCAATGAGTGAATTTAAGAACTTTCTAAAACATAACTCTGATTGTGTGTTCAAGAACTATCAAATCATGTCCACCCTTTAAAGAAATTCTTTGGCCTCCTCAAAATAAACTAATAATAACCTGATTTATTCTCTCAGAGTAAGTACATTATAGGCATTTTGATACCTCTAATGTTTTAGTAAAACTTTAAAAAAACAAGTAATGCTAAGTTTGCACTACTTAGATAGGTAAGGAAATGATAAACTAAGAGAAGAACGATAACCCTGATATATCTCTAAGACAGTGTTTTTTTACCCATTAGACCCCTGCTGTGGAATTATATACATAAATATTTTACAGAGACAGATATAAACAGATTTATCTAATATATACAGAATACTGTTTTCTCAGTATGCATACTTTAAAACATATAAAATGGATATAATATTGACAAATAGCTATCTAAGTTTTGAGGTTAGTAACAAAATATTAACTTTGATTTAATTATGTTTCTATATTCTAAGACTCATGGTCCATATAGAAGAACTCCTATATATTGTAGTTCATCTGTTCCAAAATTTTCATCTCACCTCAGCATCAAAAGACATCTCAACTAAAGTTGAGTCAGCCACCAACTGGATGTCAAACACAGGGCATGATTTTGGAATCTGAGGCTCGCTAATTAAGATTACCAAAAGGTTAAATAGTGTTCTCCTGAAAAAAAAATAAAGGCAATTAGTGAGTTAAGTTCAAAAAGAAAAACAGTGACACCAAGTTTGCAGGCACTGAGTGTAATTATATTGAAATGTATGAAGCACTGTGGACTGTGTAATTGAGGTATAATTGATTTATAATATTAGTTTCAGGTATACAATATAGTGATTCAAAAATTTTATAGATTATACTCCATTTATACTTATTACACAATACTGGCTATATTCCCTGTCTTGTACAATATATCCTTGTAGCCTATTTATTTTATTTATTTTTGTTGTTGTTGTCATAAAATTTTAATTCAAAGGAAAATCTAATCATTTATTGTTGTTTATCTTGTGACTTGCTTCAGATTCTTTTTTTTTTCCATTTATTTTTATTAGTTGGAGGCTAATTACTTTACATCATTGCAGTGGTTTTTGTCATACATTGAAATGAATTAGCCATGGATTTACATGTATTCCCCATCCCGGTCCCCCCTCCCGCCTATTTATTTTATACCTAGCAGTTTGCACCTCTTGGTTCCATTCCTCTGTTTTGCCCCCCGCCTACCCTCTGCTCACTGGTTAGAGCACTTAAGTTTGTTCTTTATATCTGTGAGTCTGCTTATTTTTTGTTAGATTCACTAGTCTTATTTTTTAGATTCTACATATAAGTGATATCGTAGAGTTTTTTGACTCTAGAAACCATTTGTAACAAACCATTTCAGAGGTTTATTGTCCCACTAAAGAGCAATAGCTATTAGTGAATAAAAGTAGTATTAAACTTCAGGTCTTTCAAATGCAGTGTACAGTCCCCTAACACATACTAATAGCCCACCTAAAATTTACTGCATACTCGAGTAATATATCATGCTATTTGAAAATAAAAAGGCTCACACACACAAAAATCACAATTCAAAACATGCTTCCTGAGAAGCTGGGTCAATAATTCGATTTTCATATGTATAGTACAACCCCTGTAAGGTTAAAAAAAAATTGAAGGCAGACCATTAGAAAAATCCGTTCCCTAATTGAAGACAATATCAGAGAAGCTTTGACAGAGAGGAGGAATAAAAGAATGTACATATAGGACTATATAAAAATTCTCTATATTCTTAAGCATTCCTTCCATAATGAAATAAAGAAGAATATAAACAGTCTTCAGTCAGTTCAGTTCAGTTCAGTCGCTCAGTCGTGTCTGACTCTTTGCAACCCCATGAATCGCAGCACGCCAGGCCTCCCTGTCCATCACCAACTCCCGGAGTTTACTCAAACTCATGCCCAT